TTGTTGTTGTTGCTCGGATTGTTGGCGAACTTGACGGTGATCGGCTCGGACGAGCCCTTCGGAATGGTACCGTTTAATTCTTGGATCGCCCTCTCGGCCTCGACCCGCTGGTCGAACCTTATGAAACCGACCCCTTTCGACAATCCTGTCGGTAATCGGTTCAAGTTATTCAACGGGTCCATCATCTTCTCTGTGAATTTTTGTTGGACGAATATATCGGGCAACGAAGCGACAACATTGCCAGATTCCTCGTTGACTGTTGAGTGACTACGCGTACACGCGTCCGATTCTTGCAAGGAAAAGTTATTTTTCCAATGGTCCAAGATGTTCCGGTTAAATCGTAAGCAATTAATCGTTTTTTGAATATAAAAAACAATGTATTATATTATTGGATTAAATAAATTGGAAAGCGGCATGATATAATATAGCGGCGCATCACTCCCTCGCAATGAAACTGGATGATTTTATCGTATAAGGGAAGTTTTATCGAGGAAAACACTCATGAATTTAGATTAATGTTAGTTGTATCTTCTATATATATATATATATATATACACATTATATATAAAAGATAACGGTGCAATTTAGTAGGAAAATCTTGGAACAGTTAAAAAAAATATTAATAACAAGGAAATAATCCTTTCACAAAATCCATCGCATTGCGATTCTTTTGATAATAATAGGAATAGAAATCCAATTCGTCGAAGAAAGTTGCCTTTGCATTAACGATACTTGTCGATTTCTAATAAATCGATCGTGAATGCTAAACGAACCTTCTTCTTGCAAATATTTTCCACCCCGTGATCAACGACGAATTCTGTGTGGAATGCAATCAAGTGCATTCGAACGAGTGGCTCGGTGCGCGCAGATTCGTTTCTTTACACCGATGTCGCGTGTTCTCGAGTGAGTCGATCATGTTTTCTTCCATTCAAACTGAATGAGTTTGATAACGCGCTAAAAAGGGGTGTGAAAAGGTGTATTTATGCGTATGTATGTGTGTATGCGTATGTGTGTATGCGTATGTGTGTTTTGCGTGTGTGAGTGTGTACCTTGAATCGAGGGCACGGTCGCAAAATAATAATAATAATAATAATCATAATAATAATAATAATAATAATAATAATAATAATAATAAT